TTAGTCCTGAGAATTTTACAGCCCTTACATTTTCTTTAAAAATCTTCAGCTATCTGAAGGATGTCTCCTTGTTCTCAGTAGTCTCTGATAGACTGCTGCTTAACCACACAGGCTCCCTTTTGCCCTTTCTCAAGCCTTTCTTGCTAAGCAGGTTGTATTTCCTCTCTGCCTTCAACACAGTATCTTAAATAGCGTCTGTGCCATCTGTCATGACATAAGTGTCTTAGTGATTCTTCACAAATTCTTCCTTACAGGAGGTCTTGTCCTTTCTAAAGTTGAGCACAACTAGGGAGATTTCTTGGCTCCTGCAGACCTTCAAGGACACTGAATCTAGAGAGAGATTCACCTGACATATTTTGAACCACATCCACCTGGATTTTGCTTCTTCTTTCATGGGATCTTCAACTACTGAGTCCATGAAAATTGGCCATTTAGTCTCAGCAGGCCTCTAGGGTAATTTACTGTGTGCAAGTGTCACTCTGTTCAATCCAATTTTCTCTGTAAGGCTCAGTTCCTTCCAACTCATTCCTACAGTTTTCCCCTGGTTAAGTGTGCCATCTCAAACTACATGCTCCTTTCCCCACTCTTTAGCTGGATTTCATTGTGATCTCAATTTGTCAACCCTTCTTTACAGTGTCCTGTATTCACAAGGACTCCTTGGTTCCTCTTAAAGATGAACTTTCTCCTTACACCATTTTTGCAGTTATACATGAAAATACTCCCTTTCAGCCACCCTGTAACTCAGGGAAGGTAATTGCAGAGATGCTGGTCTACTGCACCAATGCTGTTGAACCTTTGTTGTAGACACTTGCTAAATAAGTAACTCTTAAACCTACTGAAGGATAATGGTACTTAAAAATGATCAACGTAAATCCATAATTTATTATAGAATCATAGAAACATAGAAGAGTTTGTGCAGGAAGAGCTCTTTACATCTCATCTAGCCCAAACCCCTTCAATGAACAGGGACATCTTCAGCTAGATCAGGTTGCTCAGAGTCCAGTCCAACTTGGCCTTTAATGCTTTCAGGGATGGGCATCTACTGCCTTTCTGGGAATGCATTCCTGTGTTTCACAACCCCCATTGTAAAACATATCTTCCTTATATCTAGTCTGAATCTACCCTCCTTTAATTTAAAACCACCACTTATTGTCCTATTGCAACAGGCCCTACTAAAAACTCTGTCCCCATCTTTCTTATAAGCCCCTTTTAAGTACTGAAGGGCTGCAATAAGGTTACCCTGAATCTTCCCCGGGCTGAACAACCCCAACTCTCTCAAGCTTTCCTCACAGCAGAGGTGTTCCCTCCCTCTGATCATCTTTGTGGCCATCCTCTGGACCTGCTCCAACATGTCTGTGTCTTTCCTCTACTGAGGACCTCAGATCTGGACACAGTACTCCGGGTGGGGTCTCACCAGAGTGGAGTAGAGGGGAAGAATCCCCTCCCTCCACCTGCTGGCCACACTGCTATTGATGCAGCCCAAGATACGGTTGCCTTTCTGACTGCAAGTGCATATTGCTGGGTCATGTCCAGGTTTTCATCCACCAATATCCTCAAGTTCTTCTCCGCAAGGCTGTTCTCAATCCCTTCATCCTCGAATCTGTATGCATACTGGGGGTTACCCCAATGCAGGTGTCTTTGTTGAACCTCACGATGTTCAAATGGGCCAACTTCTCAAGACTGTCTAGGTTGCTCTGGTTGGCATCCCATCCCTCAGATGTGTCAAATGCACCACTCAGCTTGGCATTGTCTGTAAACTTGCTAAAGGTACACTTGATCCCACCATCTGCATCATTGATGAAGATATTAAATAGTACTGGTCCAAGTACAGACACCTGAGGGACACCACCTGTGTGACATTGGGCCATTGTCTACTACTCGCTGAATGCAACCATACAAACAGTTCTTCATCCACTGAACAGTACATCAAACAAATACATATCTCTCCAATTTAGAAGGAAGGATGTTGAGGGGGACCATGTCAAAAGCCTTACAGAAGTCCAGACAGATGACATCTGTAGCTCTTTCTTGTTCACTGATGCAGTCACTCCATCATAGAAGGCCACTAGGTTGGTCAGTCAGGACTTGGCCTTGGTGAAGTCATGCTGGCTGTCTCAAACCACCTCCCTGTCCTCCATGACCATTAGCACAGCTTCTAGCAGTATCTGCTTCACATCCTTCCCAGGCACAGTGGTGAGGCTTACAGTATTTCCCTGAGTCTTCCTGGGATTTAGATCATGTTAAGCCTACAGCTTCTTTCCCAATATCCTTTAAATTTTGCCCTAGGAACTTCTGTCTCCGTTTTTTTCTGCCACATACATTCAGCAGATCTATGTCCCCTGACTCCTCCTCACTATTGGCTAGCAGACACAACCCTCAAACCAGATGATATGTGTTACCTCACCGTGGGCAGGCATGTTCCCATACAGCTGTCCCCCAATGGGTTGTTGTCCTGCCAGATACAAGAGCAACAGTCTCCTACCTTCAACAGGAGCTTCAGGGCAGGCCCATGGCTGACCTCTTATCTCTCCCAAGGCAATACCCTCCCACTCCAAAAATGGCATGGTTATCTTATGGACAGGTTTTATTTATAATGTCACTGGGGAGCCTTACTATGTACTGAGCAGGTATTCCATTTAAAAAATAAATAAATAAATAAATAAATAAATAATCTGTACTTTGGGGATATACATGTCATGTGACACTTGGAGCAACTATCAGGAGAGGGACACCTTTATAACATCATGGTGATTACCAGGTTTTTGCAATCTTTTGCTTCCCCTTTACAAAACAGCCACTTTAACATATCCCTGTTTTTCTCATGAATGATGGTGGCCCTTGTCTGTAAAAAAATTCAAGTGCTGAAAGTATGTTTTGTAGACACATCCAGAACTATCAGCTTTTTCTTTTGCATACTTTGTCATTTCAAGCACTGGTTGCTTCAGACAGCTTTTCAGATGATAGATAATGAAACACTGCACTATTCTAGAACAACTTCAGCAGGCACTTATGTACACAAGATCCATAAACCTACAAAAGAACCCATCAGTCACATAATGTCATCTTAGTTGAAAAAGTTCTGCTGGTCTTGTCAAAATGTTTAGCCTAAAATAATGGAAAAAACCACAATTTTTTGTTGTTTAATGAGATAATCTAATTGTCTCTTGTGGTTTTAAACTTTGTGAAAAAATAGTTCAGTCCTAATTATTGGCTAACAATTTCAGAAATTCCAGTAGTTTTATTATCCTGTGTTGAAATGTTATCTCAGGGGAATATCTGTATAGTATACAGACATCAGCTCAATTTGTATGACAATATTGAATACTTACATAAAGATTTAATTATTTAAATCTACAAAAATAAAGAAATCTGGCTTTACCTCAGTGTCATTGGTAGCAGTAGAAGACATGATACATGTGAGTGCATTTGTGTGCACATGCACTGAAATTTACCTCCCAGCATGAAATGCCAGTTAATGCAAAGCTGTAAACTGCATGTGATTGATGAGAACAACGATTTGCAGTGTCCTCTTCCAACGACATTTGTCACTTAAATTAGGCCTACATATTGGTATATGTTTATTATTTTTGCATTACACACATTGTGTAAAATCACTCCTGGGAACAGGTCATTATTTTTCATATCTGCTGTATTCTTCAGAAGAAAATTGTTCATTGTTTCACACACAAGCTGACCTAGAACTCAGCATAGCAGAAAAGTATTTGCAAGTAGTAACAAATTACTCACTAGAGTTTTATTGGGCTATTTTCAAATATAGATGAATGCATTCTTTTCACAAAAATATGAACTTTTCAAATATTATTATTAGATAATAATGGAAGTAATCAAATTAATCAAATTATCTCATTGTTTTGATAATATTGTCCCTTCTTTAAACAACTCTGAATATTAGTTTCAAAGAGTAATCTCTCCAATTTTAAAATACAGGTTATCCAAAGAGGGATCAAAACAAAGCCCATGCAAGTTGTGTGTCCAAGTCTGTTATTCTAATGACACAGAAATGAAATCACACTTAAAAGACTGTAAACCAACCATGAGCTAAAATGTGTAGGAACAGAACACAGCCATCATTCTTTAACAAATACAAAGGTTTCATTTATCCACTGCACTAATGGAAATTGATCACTAAATTTCTTTAAAGAGTCAAACCATGAGATGATCCCAGGTTTTGCCAAATGAGGGAGGCTAACATACACTTAATTATTTAATTTTGTATTTCCTGACAAACTGTAAAGGCTATTTATGGCTTCAGAATCCGAAGAAAAGACAGAGCTCAGGTCTTGCTCCAAAAAAATACAGTAATGAGCATCTTTTGCAATAACATGACTTGTGGCACTTACTTCAGCAGAGCTGGCATTTCATTCATCATCAGGTAAGGGTGTGCATGCGTGCACACACACAAACACACAGACATACACTAGTTAGCACATTAGAGCAGAGCAATACATTTTTAAGATATTTGGCCTTTACAAAGTTAACCCACAGATTAAAAAAGGCTTTAATTTTCTATTATTTGTTGTTGAAATGTCATTTTTCTGTTAGTGAGCACTTAATAGGTTCCATAAACCAATGAAAATAAAGAAAAAAAAACCTATTCAGCTTTATAAAACAGATACATATGACTGGATTAAAGACACATGTCTTAAGTGAACTGGGAATCACATGCTTTACTTTTCCCTTAAAATTACACACAGGCTAATGGACTAAGAAAAAAGGAAAATAATGTATTTTTATTCAAAACAGCTCTATCACTGAAATGTTCAATAACTTCATAACAAAACACTGCAGTAGATGGATAACAATGACTGTTCTTAACTGTAAACTGTAGATTGTTCTAAGGAACACACTCTTACTCTATAGTTACTCAAATTGTTTGTGATCAAATAGTATCAGCTTCATGGCCTTGTAATTATGCTAAAACAAACAAAATCCAGAAAGTCCTAACACCTCCCCCAAAAAAAAGAAAAAGGAACAAAACAAAACAAAAAAAAACACTAAACCAGTTTTTGAATAAAATGAGGCAGCTGAAAAAAAAGTCTCTATAATCTGGGAAACCACCAGTATTAGATTAAATTCCTTTCATTCATAAACATCCAAATCTTAAATTGCTTAAACCTACTCATAATAAAAAAATCTGTCCCATTATATATTTAGATTTATTCATGCGGATATTAAAATAAACTATGTTCTGAAATTAAGAATTAAAATATTTCCTCTTGTTTTCCATACATATTTGCCTGTATAAATATACTTCATTTTACAAATTACAATGTTTATATTAAAGCTTTGGGTCAGCAAATCATTACATCTTAACATGAACAAACAATTCCTGCGTTTTGGTTCTGTCTTTAAATCATGGCTGGAGATAACGAAAATCATCCAAAATGAGTGACTGCAAATAACATAAACAGCACATTTATTTAGAAAAATAAACTGAAAATGCTGCTTGTCTGTTAGATTTCTCCATGAAGTATAGACAAATGGCTAGAAAAAATTTAATGTCAAATACATATTACAAATGACTTCTTTAACAGTAACTGGGACTATAATGTCTATGTTCAGTAAGAGTATTTTGGATGTATAATTCAATAGACTAAATGTCTTGTTTGCTAATATGATAAAAAATGGATGCTGTTAAAAAAGATTATATCCCCTTTTTAAATACACCTTATCACGTTGATGCTTTTTCATATATATACATATATATATATATGTATGTATATGTATGTGTTTATTTAAACCTAAGAAAGGACCATAGTCCTTTCTGTGAAGAGATCCCCATAGTGAAAGAAAGCGCAAAGGTTTTTCTTCAGTTCTAACTTTTAAATTCCTTTTGAAGCCCCAGCAAAATATAGCTTGTTGTGGTCAAAAATCTCCTGGGGCCATCTGTGCAAATGGAGGTGCACATCATTACCCTGAATGGAAGTGACAGTGCAAATACTAGAAGTGCATTGAGATGCAATCTCTAACAGCTGAACTTCTTCAAAGTTGGGTGGAGGACAAAAGACAGCATCCTTTTAAGCAATCACCGATGCCCTGTTCCTGTATGGCTTTGAATATGTACAAGGGATGACAGAGGTCTTCTATCCCCACAGACAGTAACATTCCTCTGTTACAGTAAACACATTACTTTTCTGCTGTCACCTAAGTATTTCTCCTTCTGGCTACATACTGAAATATTTTTGGATGCTGGCTGGACCCATGAAAACCTGATTGTTTGTTACTCTGGTTGCTCAGCACAGAACTCAGGTGTCAGGCATGAAGACAGCAGTTTCTGCAGTGGGGAAAGATATTTAGTTCTCTTTATTCTTCTTTCCCATTAAATGGAATTTAAGGCTGTGGCTTTTGCCAGGACTCAGCATGTAGCTGTCAGATCTGAGAAAGACGATTCAATGCAGATTACACTCATGATCAGTTGTGCTCTGTCTTGAAAGGCTTTTCCATTTTCCATGGAGCATCAGGTTCCTGTTACTTCTCAGATCTGGCCTGTAAGAAGTCACAATGTTGAATCTGATATGCAAATAATTAACTGATGTGCCTCCAGATATAGATATTCCTTCAAGCCTGAAGGTGCTGTTAAAGAGAAAAGAAGACAAGGTCAAAGTTATAAAAACGTTACTTTAAACAAAATTAATAGTAAACAAAACAGAATTTTGAATGATCATTCCATTTTTCATGTAAGCAAGAGTTCCAGTAATTATGATACTTTGAAACCTGTCCTTTTACAGTTTTACTTTATTATTGGTACAAGCCTTGGTTCTCTGCTGGGATAAATGGGTTTAATTTTAATGGTGTTTTTGGAATCCCATTCTATTACACTACCTGGGAAACAGATTGTTGCTATCCTAGGTCTCAGACTATATGGGGATCTTGAAATTATGATCTTTTAATCTTTTTTTGAATTATTCTTTTTAAGAAGATTACCCTTTTTAACCTACCTAACATAATAATTCATCTTAACAATATTCCTTAGGGCACAAAATAAAACAAGAACTCCCGAGATCTTAAAAATTAAGAACTATACATTAAGCATTTGAAAAAGCCTCTAAGAATTCAAGTCTAATTTTACCTGAGATTCTGTGTTCTAATCCTTGTTGTCAAATGAAATAGCAAGTGAATTCAACAGAAGTCTCTCACCTGACAGGTAAGTTTCCTAATCACTAAAACCCTATATAAAATTTTGATTTGGGTTTTTCATATTCCCTTTTGTGAAACTGCTTTAATTTGTTTAAAACAGTAAGATAGTCCTAGAGTCAGTGAAGGAGAATAGTGCTCACTGAACTTCCTTAGTTTATTTATTAGACAAGATAAGCAGTATCAAAAGGAGAGACCTTAGGATACTTATCTGTTGGTAGCTAGGGCACTAACTTGGGTTAAATGATTAAATTCACATCTCCTGAAGAAAAGAATATGAACTTCCTCTTCCAGAGTTTGTGATTTATATCCAGAGCTACATACTACAAGGGGAAGGCAAAATTACTTCTTTGTCATTAGTTTTATAAATCTAGCCCTTCATTCACATTTCCTCTTATTTCATGGAATGCTTCAATTTGATAAAGATTGGGTAGGGTAGGGCAGAATTTCACTTTGGCAGGCAAAAAAGAATCTGAAGTTGGTGTGTTGTGGACCCTTTTTACTTTTTCCCCCATAACTACAATATATCAATTATTCAGGGTAACAATTAGCATTCAGGATTGCAGCAGTGGCCCAATGTCACCCAACAGTCAAGCAAAAATGGTATAATAAATTTACTATAAACTTGGCCTGGAATGAGATTTTTTCCTAGTCAACTACTTAGAGTCGAGCTTACATTATTAATGAAAAAGAGGAGTATCCTAGACATCTGTTAGCAGCTTATTTTTAACCAAGGACAGTCTTCATGTCAATAAAAACACACAACCCTTTTTCAGCTGTCACAGTTTCTGGATGCAGTTACATTTGGGCTAATTTTTTCTGTATGTTAACACCTCATAAAATTCACCAAAAAAAAATGTTAATGCTCTTGAACTCAATGATCATGAAACAGGAATAACAAAGTACAACAAATACATATGTGAAAGTATTAATAATAATAATAAAAATAAATAATACAAATAGTATTTTGTTCTGTCTCAGAAAACAGTTGCTTCTCAAACTTATTCTGGATACAGTACAATCCAATGCTTAGCAGCTGTAGGCGTGAAAAGCAATGTAATTGTTTTCTTTTCCTCTGGGTTGCAATTCATAAACATACTCAATATAATGATCACAGAACCAGTAAGTGGTATTTCAAGTATACCTGGATTCCTCTACCACCTCTATAATTCAGTCATCAATCCATACAATTTGATTCATTCCCGGTCATACAACTGCATGATATTCACCTTAATTTCATCAACATTCTACTGAAGAAAAGACTGCCTTTTGATTCTGCTAAAAAGCATAAACTGCACCACTGTGGAAAAACATGATGCACCTCTGCACATTAATAAGTAATTTGTTCAAATTAGAAGATTATGGTTAAGCTTGCTCACTGAAAAACTCAGCAGGTGGCAATGCCTGCATTAAAAACAGAAGAAGCAGTTCCTCTTGCCATCTCCAAAACCACCATCTGTAAATCACAAATGATTACTGTACACATGAAAAAGTGAAGCACGGAGAGAAAATAGGCTAGTCACTGAAAATAACCTGTCTACTTACAGATTCCTATCCCCGACTCTCTAGTTCTTAATTCCATAATTTTTACTATTTTGACAACAAAGCTTTACATTTAAATCACTACATTTAATTCATCATTACAAAATCCCTTCACTACACCATACCTTGTCTAATATCCTCATAGTGAAAAAAAAAAAAAGACCTTACTAGGGAGCTAGAGTTCAATTTGTGGGAGGCTCTCTTGTTCATGCACATCCCTTCTCCTCCTTTTTGTTACTTTGGCAGCATCATCAGGTCATTCTGTCCTTCTACAGCAGAAAAAGTACAGACTCACAGAAACCAATGTTATTGTTTTAGTCATTCAAACCCAGACAACTATTCTATAATAAAAAAACATATTTTACTTCTCTCTCAGTATTACCCAAAACCATCTACTCCCTTCTGTTTCCTTCTGTTTGGCACGGTTTTCTTAAAAACTGAAAGTGAGTCCAGTCCAACCTACCATGACATCCTCCTCCTTCTCATGGCCATGACCATAGTGTTGCTGCACAGAGTGCTATGCAGAACACTGCGCACAGAAACTATTAAGGGAAAAGGCTACTAAAGGGAACCACCCTTTCAACTCAGATCTGTGGGATAGCCATGCATACACTGGCTATCATAAATTGAACAGTGATTTACAGGGTTGGTACAACATAGTAAAATTATAGGAGGAGATATTTATCCAAGCTTAGCTAATAAGCAATAAATTTTGATTTAAAAATACATACAGGGATATGTTCAACTTACAGTATTTAAAAATAATAAATGCAGTTTGATTCTATACTGGCATGATAGGAAGACATCAAGAAAATTATACAGAGGACATGTATCAACTTTGAACTGATGAGTGCAATGGTGACTATCAATGATCACAGAAAAGGATGCTTTAAATGAAACTTTCTATGCTGGGTATAGTTCCTGTTATCAAGAAAAACAAAAAAAAACCCCAAACAACTAGGAAATGCACTTCACATTCAACTGAGGAGAGATTTACTGGATTAATACCAAGCTGTATAACTTCTACATCACTTTAAGAGTCTGATAGAAGCACATCTAAGACTAGCCTAATTAAAATCTCCATTATTTGGGCTATTTTAGGACACACAGCATAATCTGGACATGTTGTTACTTGTCATAAGCATGCTGGCAGTCAGAGCACATGCCAACTATTAGCTGTACTCACATATTTAAGATTAGAACAAATGTTCCTAATGGAAAAAAAAATCACATAGTAATATATCCTCCTAAACATACTGCATATATTTTTTATATATTGCTTAAATAGTAATAACATCTGTTTCAGTTACTGGCTATACCTGAAAGATACAGAAATAGTTCAATTCAGATATAGACTCTTTTATCTCTATTACCTTAGGTCTTTTACTCCTTTCAGATAAGATGCATTACTATGATAATTCCTTCAATAGAAGAAAGAATGATTGAAGGAAGGGAATGCTTTTGTAGATACTTTTACTTCTTGCTATTGTCCAAGAAATCCCCATCATAACCCCTAATGTAATTTTTTTAGGTATAACTTTAAATCATGTATTTCAGAAGACACACAGCTTCGGTCAGAAGCCAGACTATTTCAGATGAAATTGTATGTTTTATGATTAAAGGAATTCTGCTAAATGCAAACCCAATGTTTTCACCAAGTATTTTATTTCTGCATCAACATTTTAACTATATAAGCCAATGTTAGCATTTTTGTGTTCTGTGGTGTATCTAGTACTGTCAAGACATCTTTCTCTGTAAAAATGAAACCAACCAAATCTAAGCAACACAGTGTTAACAAATCCATCACCATACTTCTTTGTAGTTCTTCCTATTTTATTTTTTTTTTCTCAGAAGCTTCAGAATACTTATTTACATGTGATTGCCTTACCCTGTTTCAGTCTGTGAATAATTTGTCAATGAACAAACAAAAATTCCCAATTACTTACTGGAAGTTATTTTTTTTCTTTCAAAGCTTTGAAAGAGACTGTAAATGCCATTAAAAATCAAAATATCTAAATTTATACATTTTTCATTTTTTCCTTTACTCACTATAATTCGTTTATATGTTGGCAGCAAGTACTACCTTCTACAGTAGCATTATTCTTACCATCTTCCCTAATGTGATTATCAAATCCTCTGTTGTTCCAGCTTTGATATCTCTAGAGCTTTCCCTAAAACCAGTTCTATATACAGTTCTATAAAGATAATCCTAAACAGAAATCTGTAAATTATGTCAGAGTGCATGATGAAAACATTTATTAAATACACTATTCCATCTGAACTCATTAAATACTGTATTTGTAGAAGTTTACTGTCTTTGTGTGCTTGCACAACAAAATGAAGACCATCATGAAAAATTAATAACAGAAGCATGAAATGAATGTCAGAAGCATCATGCTTGTAAATATATGAAACTCATAAAATTTTTTTCTTATAAACTGTTGGCCAAATTGCTGTGGTGCTTGTCTCAGAACTGTCCCAAATAATTCAGATTTGAAAGAAGAAATCTGTGGGACAGATAACATGAAATTAAGCTCTCTTTTTGTTGATACCACTAGTTTTCAACACAGCTAAAATTCAGACAACCTCAGTTACCAAGTGGTATCTTGATACCATTGAAGTCAATAGCATACATTAGGGGTTGCCATGATGAATGCCAAAAAATGTCAAAACTCTGACTGAAAAACGTTTAAAGGGGAAAGAATGGCACTGGTAAAAGTTCTGATGATGTATCCTGGGTAACTAAGGCAGCCTTGTTCAGTGGTCAGAGGCACCTTGTCTGGTAGGAGAAGTATACATAAATTTAACTGAGAAGTAAGATCTTTCTTCCTTGGCAGTACAGAAAGGATATATAAATAAGCCTTTTGAAAATTCCTCAGAAATATTTTTTGGTTGAG